CTAACCTGCCAGCATATCGCATTGGCAGAATAGTGGGAAGAACAGTTAGTTACAGCCTGACTTCGATAGAGCTATAATACCAAAGCTCGCCATCACTCATAATCCTGAGCCAGTTCCATCCACCTCCCACTGTGACAACCAATTTCCTTAAGATCCACCCAAATTTTATCCTTTCAGTTCATTCTCGGCTTTCCAAATATTTCAACCTCAGAAATTTTGTGCAAGTATACATTGCGTATCTCCCCTATACTGCCCACACGCCGTGCCGGTCACAACTTTCTACGTTTCGTTGTCACAGGACCACGAAGTTACTTGTTATGTGGTATTCGAAGATGAAAATTTTATGCTTCTTTTAATAGGTACAGGTATTTGCAGAGCACTTTATTTCCAAAGTTACGTGCTTGTCACTCAAACGTAAAGTAAAAAGATAAAATTGTCCCTGTGCTTAACTAATTAGGAAAGGCCGCGCTATAGCTCAAGCGGTTAGACGCTGTCTTCTTACCGCGGCGGCCCTGATTCGATCCCGGGTCTGGTAAAGTGGGATTTGTGGTGAACAAAGTAGCGGTGGGGCGGGTTTTCTCCGAGTACTTCGGTTTCCCCTACCAATCTTCATTCCACCTAATTGTCCATGGGTGAGCCATAAAACTGGCCCTCGCACTGCGACCTTCAATGATCTATTGTGTTTAATTCTCCATCATAATCACCCGGGGCAGGTACAATAGGGCAATCAGTGGCCACCTTGCCGAGTGGACCCAGCTGGACTCCTCCCCCCCCCACTAAGCGAATTTAACTAATTAAGAACTATGACTTGAAAACGTATGGGGGAGTGGATGTATGAGTCCAAATTTTCTTGACCTCGGCACTAGTTGGAGGTGAGTGGTCAGCTTCACACCCCGACTGCTTTACCCCCGGGGAAAGAACCCCCGGCACCCATTTAATAGGAGGTTGGGGGAACATCAGAACCGGTGTGGATGACATGGGCGAGTGAAAATTCTTGCCCACCATCGGGGCTCGAACTCCAACCCTTTGGTCATCCAGCCCGTTGCCAGTCGCTGTACCAACTGCGCTATCCCTGCTCTGTGTATTTGTGCCGTACAGTGAACAGTTCCCAATTGCTCGTACCCAGCCTGCATTACAGAGAACACCACTCCCAACACTTAAACAAAACAACTATTAAAATTACTGGTTTGTGTATTCTCAATTTCATCACTGCGGAAAGCAGACGCAATGGTAATGAAAAGGTGGGTAACGAAAAATTTCAGTCAGGATAACCAGTTTCTGTGGCCGGAACGTCATCGGAGACCTCCCGGGTGCGAATTAGCGATGCTGAGTCGCTTGGTTGTTTTAGACCTCCACGCACAGTGTAACTCTTTTGGCAATGCCATTCTTATCTTTGATTTTCCTGGTTTGCCGCGGAGCTCAGGTTTAATCATGTAATGCAGACTCAGAATCTTGAAGTCTCTCTTCATATAGTTACGTACGTTACATTACGTTATTGTGCCGAGTAATCTGAACCTTGCCACAAGCTTTCACTCTCCGCAGCGTAGAAGCTTCTAGGGAAAGCTATTGAGCTCCATCTGTTTGCTGGAGACATAATCAATTTGACTGCGTGTAATCTCATTATTACATCCTAGTTCCTAAGATTTGCCGTACGATAGCGGTGCTGTCGCCTGTACAAACGACGTTAATCCACTGCTTCTCGTTGCTGAAGTGTTTTGATTCTTAGGGATGTCAAAGTAAAGCGTAAAATTTCACTGTCAAGTTAAAAGTAAATCCCTAAACCCTTAAAAGGATCATACGTGTTATAGATCGTAAAAGGTGCATTGAAAGAAAAATGAAAATAAGTGAGGGAAGGTAATTCTAGGCACCTTCAATATTACCGTCTTGTGGGATGTGACACCGTGTATCAAGGTACGGAGGAACCTGCTTCCTCCGTGCTTAGGCCACTCCGAAGATGGAGGTAGCATATTCCTCCGAAACGCTGGCGTCGGCCTACCGAACTGAATGGCGTATCCCAGAAGACCTTAATGTTCATGTCGACCGCCGTTAGAACTTCAGGTCTCATCTAGCTACCTGGTTTTGAAAAAAAAAATGAAATATTTCAGGAGTTTTTGTAAAGGTATAGCAATCCATGTAACAGGCCGTTGAGGTCCATAAGGTTGTGAGTCGTCGAGGTTCCCACATTATGAATAGACAGTAGGTTCACAGATGGCGAGGAGGTTGTCAGCCATACTCAACGGCCTATCTACAGAGGGCCGATGGGCATTGCGTAGGCCTTTTTTGTATTTACAGTTATTTTTCACAATAAAAAACCACCGTCTGCCTTTTACCCCCAGGAAGTTTTTTGGTACTCATTTCTGTTATCCACCTCAGTGCTATAGGGCTGCTGGAAGGATTAGGTCAATTGGATCTAATGACCTCGTCGGGAATCGAACCTACGACCTTCCCTCTTTGGCATAGTGTCTCAACCAACTGTTCTTCCGCGTTTATGTGAGAATAACTTTTAGACGTGTTAAAGCAGGAACTGTATTAGTGCATTAGTACAATATTGACTTAAGGGGAAGCAGATTACAGTGACGAGGATAGCTCAAGGAATACCATTCTATTCCCCCATTGTCACATTTCCCGTCATCATACTGACATATTTTTAAGGATACAGTCTGACATGTTGAGAAATGGAGAATGAAATTGTATCGATGTTAGTTTTGGCGTTCTGTAAGTCGGCCTGTGGGTTTCCCAAGTGGGGGATTTCCAGTCTGCATACAGTCAACAATCAATCGATTTCTGGCATGTACGTATTTTTAGCCTACTTTCCTAGAGTATGCTTATGCGATCTCAATCATGTGTGCGCCTCTGTTTCCCACCTAATGACTTTTGAATGCCAGAACCGATCTTTATGAAACTTGGTATGTATATCATGGCAGCTGAGCCAGTCTCAATGGGGTACGTCATAAATCCATTCCATAAGTCTGTGTCTGTACTTGCATATGTGTATCCCTCCTGTCGTTGCAACAGAATGGCTAGGTTAAGTGTATCTCTTTTTTCGGTGCTAGGCAACGGCTCGGCAAACACGTTTCCGCAGCAGTGAATACACGCAACAGTAGAAGAATTGTTGGACGTGTCATTTTCTGTGCGGCCCTTGTCTTATCAAAGGCGTGTCTGTGGGTCTGTCTGTATATCCACCTATCGTTGCTAGGTGACAGCTCGGTAAACACGATCCCGCGTCAAAGAAGAATTCTTGGAGGCGTCATTTTCTATGCGGTTCATATCGTAGCTAAGGAAAATAAGCGATTAGTTCTTTCCAGAAGAGTGACAGCTCTCAGAGACGTAGGAACCAAGAATCATTGTGCTGGCGAGGACCAGCAGCAATTTAGAAGTTTGTCTTACCAGAATTTCTTTTCTTTCATAAAGTCATCAAGCTGTTCGCCAAGACGGATGAAGTTTGGTGTGAAGTGAATACTTACGCCTTTAATAGTGTATGAAAGAGCAAATTATGTCTAGCCCTATGTACTATTGACAAGTCAAATACTGACGCTCTTCTTGACGAAGCACTAGAAATATAATCCTTATGAGCTTAATCAAGTGATAGTTTTATATTTCTAGAATCTGAATAATATGCGGCCATGCACTAAAACGGACGATATTTTAATTAAATATTCAGTAAATTAATGTCCTTGTTGTATCGAAGGTAAGGTAAAAATGAAGGTAAAGCTATCCCTGCAGCAGGCCATGGAGGCCCATAGGGTTGTTAGACGTCAAGACTCCAAAATTTTCTCTAGACAGTCGGCTCACAGATGGCGGTGAGGTTGTCAGCCTTGCGCTTCGGCCGCCCTTTCCCCGCAGGAAGATTCCTGGTACTCATTTCTGTTATAGGCTGAGTCGAGCTAAAGTTCATAGTGCGGCTGGAATGATTAGGAGAATTGAAAGAAATCCTTTGTCCTAGTTAGAGGCTTGAAATCCATATGGATGTATCGGGAATTAGGATGTACATGTAATGGGGTTTGGTATGCTTTCGTAGAAATGTCCGATATTTCAATAAAATGGGAATTTCAAAAGTAAAAAAGAAACATTTATTCCAGGTACTGTTTTCATCGTAATACATGCACAACATACCAAAACAAAGAAATGAAACGTCAACTTCAGTACTGTAGGAATCTCTGAATTGAAGACATGACACCATTCAGCTTTTTAATGAAGATATGCATTTCCATTAAAATATAATTTTCACTTTAACTAATTGCTCATATCATGACTAGTGTTTTTTTTTTAATCTCACTCCTTGAAAACCCGGTAGAGGCCTGCCAGTTGCAGTTCATAGACATATATGTTTAATTTTTGTGTGCCTTTTGTTGTATTACCCCTCAAATAGGACTTCATTTTGATTCAACGATTCTCTTCATCTTTGCTGTCATTGCTGTGGACGTTGCTGTAATGCCTACCTGACGATAAAGCGTGTGTTGCAGTGTTAACATAACTATAGGTATTATGTTCTTAATGACTGATTACCCTGCTTTTTAGTCGAAGTCAGCTGCCTGATGAGCACATACACGTATATTGGTCCACAATCACCCTCACCTATCATCTGGGGCTGGTGCAATAGGCCAGAAGTGGCCGCAGTACAAGGGACTCAGTCCCACCCCACTAGCTATAATAAAAAGGCACACTAATGTAAAGTACAACTTCCATGTTACTGTGCCAAAAATGAAATGTATTCTGACTTAAATTGCTATTAACATAAATTGTAATTGAAAGGAACATAACCTAAAAATATTTTATAGCATATTATTTTGAACATTAATGCACAGCTATAATTTGGAAACTGAGAAAACAAGGCCTACAAAAGTTACCCATAATCGTCATTCAGATTATATAGGATTTGAGGGTTTCACGGCGGTGACTATGACGAATGCCGTCTTCTGGGATGTGGCGCCGTGTAGGTATCGTGTAAAGCGACGTTTCGGAAGTACGTATCGCCTCCATCTTCAGGGTATAAAAATCCGCGAGCTGGTTCGTCGCTCGCTAATTTTTTATACCAGCCACCTGCTCACGCTGGTTCCTCGTTCCCGGATTTTTATACCCTGAAGATGGAGGCGATACGCTCTTCCGAAACGTCGGCTTACACAACATCTACACGGCGCCACATTCCAGAAGACGGCATTCATCATTCAGACTACGTTCCAGTCTTGTTTGATCATATCAGCTCCTTTCTCGCCTATCATTATTACGGGAGCATTGGGATTCCCACTGATAATCGTAGGCATTATGGATGCATCTATTACCCTGAGTCCCTCCACTCCGCGTACTCTAAGTCTTGGATCTAACACAGCATCAGGGTCTGTATCCGGGCCCATCTTACAGGTCCCAGACGGATGGTAAATAGTAAACGTGAAGTGACGCAACGCACATTCCCAGTACCCGTCAGAATTAAAAGTGTGTGCTCCACATCCAGGCATTGGGATCGTATGAAGTCTCGAACCGAACCTCTGAAACGCAAGTGTTGAAGATACGTTAATAGCTGTTCTAATACCTTCTATCAACACTGCAACGTCCTCAGGATAAGCAAAGTAGTTTGGTATTAACTCGGGTTGGTGCAAGTAATTCGCACTTCTCAGACGAACCCACCCTCTACTTCGAGGTCGCAGGAGCAGGGGTAAAATCGTCCAAGTTTCTGCCTTAACGAGGGGTTTGTACACTGTGTTGTACACCCTGTCACGCAGTCCAAGGGCTCTTCGTATTTGTTCTCCACCGTCGGAGTTTATGGAACTTGGGGCAAAATGAAACTGGATATCTGGCCAGTCTATGGAGGTGTTGGCGTATTTTGTGTTGACAAAAGCAACTCCTTCCACACCCAGGTTAGTTAGTGGACCACGCTCGTTTATAATATATTCTAATGCCACTGGTATTGTCTGGTAACGAGCTTTCTTGAAAGTGACGGGTGCATCCACAACGAAAGTTAAACCGCCTAAACCCACGTGATCTTGTAAGTTATTCCCAACTTTCAGATCCTGGATTACAGGTATATTGAATTGTTGGAGATGTTCTTTGGGACCGATACCGGAAAGCATCAGCAACTGTGGCGATGCTATGGCACCTGCAGACAGTATCACTTCACGTCGAGCCCTCACTATATGCGAATTGCTATTCCTCATGAATTCTACTGCCTTCGCTCTCGAGCGACCGTTTGTGCCCGAAGAATCTATCAGTATCTTCATGACATGAGCATGCATGGCTATATGAAGGTTTCTTCGTAAACGTACTGGCCTCAGGAAGGCTTTCGCCGTGCTGCATCTTGAACCTCTTCTAATAGTTCCCTGAGTTATCATGAAACCTGTTTGAAACTCGCCGTTACAATCTCTGTTTTCGTATCCCAGTTCAGTACCGGCCTGCAGGAACGCAAGCGCAAGAGGTGTTCTCCAGGGAGACTCTTGAACGGTGAGGTAACCGCCTTTGGAGTGATACGGAGACGTGGCCAGATAAGGATTTCTGTTGTCTTCTGATTTGAGAAAGTAAGGAAGAATTTCTTTGTAGCTCCATCCCTCATTCCCTAGTTCAGCCCAGTGATCATAATCGTGCCGATTTCCTCTGACGTATACCATAGCATTAAGGACACTAGAACCCCCAAGAACTTTCCCACGTGGCCAGTTGCACCTGTCACCCAGCATTGCAAGGCAGTATTGAGAACCAGTCGGCGGCGAAGTTTGCATTTTCCAATCCAAGTCTGAGAGCTGAAGATATCCTGCAAGAGCCGGTATGTCGGAGATTTCAGTTTCGTCTCCACCAGCTTCAAGCAGTAACACGGACCATTTGGAAATTTCTGACAGGCGGTTTGCAACAACAGCGCCTGCTGAGCCTCCACCCACAACGATGAAATCATACTCAGCGAGTGTTTCATGAATGTCTATTGGTCTGGATTCGGGATCGACTGTGTTGTAGCGGAAGTAGGCCAAGCCAATGGCGAACAGTGGAACGATTCCCCAGATGAGACTGCTGCTTCCGGCAAGCGCTCCGAATAGCGTTATTGGTGGCATCCTTACGCTAGCGGTCAGCCACAGAGAAGCATCTTGAAGCGTGTGCTCGGTGTCGAGTAGAGCAGGGGACGTCGTGGCATGATAACTTTCCTTATCGCCGCTGGCTTTCTAGTCCGCGACAACTCTGCAACTCATACAGGAACATATTTAGGTTTATTTTCTCCTATGCGTTACCTGACGACACTTGTCACGGGTGGCATATGGAAGAGCAACAACTGAATCATGAGATGTTGCCCTGTGTTTGAGCTCATTTCGCTTTACAGTTACAGATAATTCTATTTCCTATATTAGAGTAAGTAGAAATTTAAATCAGAACCTGAAATAGAAGGAAATTAAGAGGGGATTGGACTCGGGTAATGCTTGCTACAATTCAGGCCAGAACTTATTGTCTTCCCTTCTGCTGTTCAAAAACATAAAAATTAGAATATACAGAACTTTAATTTTTTCCTGCGGTGCTCTCTGGGTGTGAAACTTGGTCTCTGACATTAAAGGAGGAACATAGACTGAGGGTGTTTGAGAACAGGGTGTTGAGGAGAATATTTGGACGGAAGAGAGATGAAATCACAGGAGGTTGGAGAAAACTGCATAATGAGGAGCTTCATAACTTCTACTGTTCTCCAAGTATAATTAGAATGATCAAGTCAATGAGGATGTGATGGGCAGGGCATGTAGCACGAATGGTGAAGATGAATGCATATAGGATATAGGTGGGAAATCCAGAAGGAAAGAGACCACTGGGAAGACCAAGGCGTAGGTGGGTGGACAATATTAAAATGGATCTTAGAGAGAGTAGAATGGGATGTAATGGACTGGATTGTTCTGGCTCAGGATAGGGACTAGTGGAGGGCTCTTGTGAACATAGTAATGAACCTTTGGGTTCAATAAGATGTTGAGAAATTCTGAGTAGCTGCAGAATTGACGGCTCCTCAAGAAGGCCAAATATGTCTTCTTCTTCTTCTTGTTATTCTTCTTCTGTTCCTGTTGCTCCCGCTTGGAGAATAGGGCATTCGTGAAACACTTCGTTTCACTTCAGTTTATTAATCAAAGACAATGGGACGAGGGATCAGCTTGTCGCAAGGCTGCTACCTAACACAAAGAGAATAAACACAGACATCCATGCCTTGAGTAGGATTCGAACCCACGATCCCAGTGTTCGAGCGGACTGAGAAATTTCATAACTTAGACCTCGCGACCACCGTGATCGACTTGCATAGTATAAGTCTTCATTAAATTAATTCACTGTACTCTTTTTTACTCTAACCCCACCAGTCTGTTCCTGAGGACATTTCTTTTGGCCGCTCAAGGTCATTCCATCACCTCCTACTACCGATTTATAGGGTTACCCCTCACTACCTGCTTGACCTACTTACCACCCAATAAATGTAATCGTATAAAACCAAACCCCTGCACAAACGCATTTCTTGTAGCAGTATTTTTTTGTTTGTGGTAATAAACGAAGGAGCAGTGACCTTGACCGGCCATCGAGATCTCTTTGAGTTTAGTAAATTTAAATTCCGTATTCACCTTACGTTAACGCTGAAGTGTACATTTAGTTTTACTGTGTTGCATTGTGCTAGTCTCCGTAAAGATTTAGCGAACAACGCGTTGTTTACTAATGTGTACTTCGAACTGCATGCAATAGGCGAACTCGTTATTCCATTATACAGTATTATCTGAGCCCCATGATTCATTTAACATACTCGCACCTTCCTGAATACTGTTGAGGTTCATGTTCTTCATATCTGCACAACACCCTCCATATAAAACATCAGTGTGAAATAGATACAACTCTTTCTGTCTTACACAATGTTAGAGGACCATCTATCTCTGTTTTTAGAAAGTGAGATGTTCAAGACAGAAAATATATATTATTATCCTTATTATTAAAGTACCCGTCAATAATGCAACAATATTTTTTTTAAATATAAAAGACATCTCAAATATGTTTTTTTCCAAAATTGCAACTTAAATACTTTACGATGATGTTAAAATCATAAAATGTCATTAAGACACTAAAAGTATAACTTATACACCAAACATGATCATCAAGTTATTAAAATGTCTCTAGTTTTACATATGTTTCTTCTCATTTTGCAACTTGTGTCTTAATGACATTTTATGATTTTGACAACATCGTGAAGTATTAAAGTTGCAATTTTAGTGAGAAACATATTATAGATATCTTTCATATTTTAAAAATATATTGTTGCATAATTGACGGGTGCTTTAATGACAAGGATAATGCCTCAATGCAACGGGATGCTGAAATATAATATATATATATATATATTATTAATTTTAACACTGTGCTGAAAATATAATCTTACCTCTCGTTTCTCCAGTGTCGCTTTTCGTTCATCGTTCAATTTGAATGGAAAGTTGTAAAATTAAAGATACTGCGGGTATGGTTATGTTTGATCGTGACCTTGCACTTATCACCTCACTGCTGCATTTCACAGTATCGAGTAACGCCCGCTAATTTCACTTTACACTCTTAATACATTGCAAATTTATGAACAGCAGTCACAGTTATAATGGCGCTATGGACAATATGGAGTCGTTACGCTTCGTAACTGTCTTTTGTTATTAACACGCAAGGTTCTATAAGATATTGCGAACTGTGCTCTAAGACTGTAACTTCACGTCTGTAAAGACTGTATAGGAGTGGAAAGAAATTGTGTGGCAGGGTGGGAGGAACGCCTCTCCTAATTCTATACCTGTAATTCTTTTTCTCTCTCACTCTCTTTAGCCTTGTATCTTAAAGACATCTTCGTCTTACAGCGTCGACCTACAAATTAACTGTTCTTCTTTTCACTTCTTGTTTCATTTACCTTCTCCTTCTCATGGAGATTTTACTTTCTCTGTCCATTCGACACCTACCTGTTACACTCCTGGCTGCATAATCTCTTCGTTTAAAATATTCCGAGCATATTGTGAACTACGGAAGTTCCACACACACGTATGGCACTGTCATATCTGGAGAGAGAGTATTAGTTCCACCATTTTCCTGAAATAGGTTTCTCGGTATATGTTTGTTCCATGTTTTACGTGAGAGTTTTGTGGAAACTAAGGGATGGAATGGACTGTAGTCGTCCGGGTTTTGAAGGTGTCTCTCTGTCTTGTAGATGGTTACCAGGTCTCCTTCCGACCCCTTTTAACCACCTGCAACATTACTCTGCTTCATAAGATCACAATTCGAATTTTCACCGCCATGTAAACCTCAGATCTTGGATAGGTGAAACTATGGAAAACTTGTTGCAGCCTCGTGAGGATAATTGAGGAGGTATTTGAATGAAAAAGTGGCTCCGATCTAGAAAAACCGAGATTAACGGCCGTGGGGATCCGTTGCGCTGACCACGCGACACCCTCTATCCACAAAAGTTGGCACTAACTTCACCGACAAACGGCGGTCGCTCTGTCGGTATAGTATGCTTGCGGACTACAGGCCACGGAGTTTTTTTTGTATAGTAGGCTTGTTGCTCATTTAGTTAACCACCGCAGCATGAAGGCTTGTGGAGGTCGGAAAGTGGAGGTTCCACTGTTTCTATACTTCGGAATTTGCTGAATGTGGTAGTCAGTTTCACATTCCGGTCGCTTCTTTCTTTGTATTTCAGGGCCTCAGTATCGCAGTCAGTATTAAAAATTGTGTATTGTAGCATCCTCTTGTGATACTATTAATTGGTACCCACTCAACTATTGCTCGTATTCACCAAGAACCTAACAACTAATTTAATCAACCTATTAGTGACTGAAACTTAGATTTTACATGACACCTTTTAATTTTAATCAATCTGTTAGCTTCGACATAATGTAGTGGAATAGAAACACATGTCGTTTATCAGCTCGTGAACAGCATCAAGATAGAACCTGAGGATGGTCACAGTGTTGACCGAAACATGCTGTACTAACACTTAATATAAGTAGCAGTGTGACTAAAAACCTCACATTCTCTGAACAATAATAAAAGTTGCGTAATAGAAAATTGTAGTTTGTTTGATGGCCCCAAACTTAAACGATGGATGCAGCTGAAGACTAGGCTGTACGAGAGGAACGTTTCACATCTAGAAACTTTCCTTCTTATTTTACTGACCTTAGCTTCGCTTTCAAGCCGACTGAAATCTTGTAGAATTCTTTTTAGTTTGATAACTGGAACGGCACTGTTTGAACTCGCTATGTCTTTTCCTCACTCCTTCTCAGGAACGCCGTTTTCCCTGTTAACGTTTCAGAGACTTTATGCTTCTGCGCTATGCAAATAGTACAGTAACTCTATCGATTGGGCCCAGCTGAGTAGGTTTTACCTGGAGACGGAGACAGAATCCAGTCTCCGAAACGCTGTATTTTGAAATAGGGCGGTGTTTTCAGATAAAAACAGGACGATAGATAATATCCAGAAATATAATATTTGTACAAATATGTCCGTTGAAAATTACATGCTTGTGGAATGTGACGGCATGTAGTTACAGGGCCAAGAGTAACTCGCTTAAAAACCTTGCCCATTTTATACGCCCATAACTGATGTCCGTCTGTTATAATCTGGTGAGTTGACATAGGCTTATGCGAACATTTTGCCCATCCCAGTTTAAAGGGCGAGATATAGACTTACATTCGCAAGATATTGGTTGGAATGTAGGTTGTGTTACCGGTTAGAATGCGTGAGGATTCTCATGGCTGTCCTCTCTCTCTTTCCAGGCTAATGCCGGAATGGTTCCTTGAAATATGCGTAAATCCATTCCTTCCAAATTCGTATTTGGTCACTATTCATCATTTTCCCATGTTGTAGCTAAATAACCCCTCCAGATGAAACGGCTCTTTAAGTAATGATCATTAGTTTCTAATACAGAGTTTATCGATGCCTGATAACCTCTAGAGGCCTAAAATTAATCTAATTCATTATTTCGTTTCGTAGTACTACACGCTGTCTCCGTTATAAAAGAGGAACTGTTAATGCTTTTCAGGGACATTTTCGACGTTTATTCTGATCACACGAAACACGTAAATACTCGAATATTCTGTGGGCAAAATGCAGAATTTGTTAATGTTGTTAGCTCAGCAGCAAGGCTCCTTATCCGCATGAGGGACGGTTTAGAATCGTGCATATCAGGTGGTTAATTTGAGATATTTTAAGTGTCTCTGGTGCCTTGATCGAACGTGGTTGTCTTTACATGGTCGCCATCTGCGTGTCCCGCAGGCACCCTTTTGGAACCCCGTCTAATATATTCTTTCTAAATATTTCCTTTTTTTGTTCTCTATGCAGACGAATTACATCATGGTATCTTAAAGTAAATCACGGTCAGTCCCTCTCGCTTTCCTATTCATGGTCTCAACCCAGTCTCTGTTCCATGGTTCGTAACAAATGTTATGCATATTCTCTGTTTTTATACCTGACCTCTGGGTTCGTAAGAAGTATGGCAAAAGCTAGCATGGTACTGTACGCGGGTTCAAACCCGGCGGAGGTCGTGGAAGTTTTAAGGGCGGAAAAATTCAGGGAACAAGTCCTCAGGGAGGGACTTTAAGCCTTGGGTCCCGTGTCGTAGCTTTACGGCACGTAAAAGAACATGTCCCAAGGGGACCACTGAGCCAAATTCAGGAAATTTCCCGCCCAACAGTAGTCTCTAACGCCTTTGGTAGATGGGGGAAGCATCAAGAGATACCGCTGAGCCAGTAGAGGCCGAACTCGCTGGCTGAGTCGGGACAGATGGCACGCACCGGTATCGGTGGTGTATAGAGACTGGTAGAATATCACAGGGGGACGTACAATAGACGTCGCGGTGCTTGGCGAAACCCACCCCCTCCAATAATAATAATAATAATAATAATAATAATAGCATGGTACTGGTTACGTTTACATTGTGGGAAGGAGGATGGCGCTTTGTGAGCAAGGCTCTGTTATGACTCATTCACAATTCTTATCTCGGTTAGTGAAGCCCACACGCTCTGCAGAGAATGTGCAATTCTAGAAACAGACGCTGCAATGTATCTGGCCTACGCAATGGATGTCTTGCATAGTTTACCATCCCCATGTACAGCGTTTCACACTTCCAGTCCCCCCCCCCACATTTAGTCTCCGTTGAACGATGTATGGAACGCGGAGACGACATAAAATTGAAGACACAAGGTACAGTCGAGTCCTACAGCTCAGCGCTTTCAATCAATATGTTTGTGATTTCAGGAGGATCATATCAGTTTGCTGACACTAAATTAAGTAGAAAAAAAAAGATAAAATCATCCCTGTAATGGGCCGTAGAGTTGTGAGATGTCAAGGTTCCCACATTTTTCTAGACAGTCGGCTCACAGATGGCGCTCAGGTTGTCTGTCTTACGCGCCGGCCGCCCTTTACTGCCAGAAAGATTCATGGTACTCGTTTCTGTTAGAAGCTGAGTCGACCTCAGGGCCATAGTGGGGCTGGAAGGATTGCGTCAATTGAAAAATCGAATGAGTTCATCGGGTATCGAACCCACGACCTTCCGGTTTGTAGCATGGTTCCTCAACTACACTACTGCGTGCCTCAAATTATGTAGTGTAGTTTGTAATATTTTCCTACGGATGTGGGGTAATTTCTAATCTTTTCCTCTGCCAGAAAAAATAGCTTTGATTGATGTAGGAGGCGTATATCATATTAGGAAAACTTGGATTTATTAGCTCTAACTCCTGCCCTCAGGATGCTTGATATCACTGTTCTGACAGGCTTCGTTCTCCTTTCTTATTTTTTGGCGCATTCACAATGGAAATTGCAAGAATGTAGTTAATAGCTTCGCCTCATCTGTCCGATTCTTGGCATTGGAACATCTCGATAACTACTAAAGGATGTTCGTGAAATTTCATAACTTGGGAATTTTGCTAAAAATTTGTTTTTGACGTTTGAGTTTTGGTCCAAATGAAAGAAGAGCAGTTTTGACATGATGACCTACATAACTTTCTGCGCGAATCTCAAGCGTAAATCGCAAAATATTTATCGGAGCGTAAAGTGTGTCTCGCCGAAGTTGCAGAGATGAAGAAATACACACTTTCTTCGTTAAGTCTTACGGGTTTTGAGGAAAGAAAACAGAATGGGCTATTATGCTGTATCGTCTCATAACTCGAGGACTACTGCCCTGATATAAGATTTGAGGTTTTCACGGCGGTGACTATGAAGAATGTCGTCTTCTGGGATGTGGCGCCATGTAGATATTGTGTGAACCGACGTTTAGGAGGAACATTTCGCCTCCATCTTCATGGTAGAAGAAAGAACTCGCGAACGAGGAACCAGTGTGAGCAGCCACCTAACCTGAAGATGGAGGCGAAATGTTCCTCCGAAACGTCTGTTTACACAATGTCTATACGGCGCCACATCCCAGAAGGCGGCATTCTTCATACTGCCCTGATGTTTGCAAAATTTTATATTTGCAATCCTTGCTTGTTCTCAGCGCCTATTTCATATTATTTGTAATCGAGAGTCAAAAGTTGGCATTCACGAATTGAAAGTCTAGGGATAATAATAGAACGAACGGGCCAGTATCTGCCTGCAGCTTATTTTGCTTACCCTACTCTAAAGAAGGGGGCAGTACTTTCCTCAAAAACGTCATCAAACTTATACCAGACCATATTTTGTAACATTCCAGAAAATAGCATTTTTCATTTTATAACTTATA